AATCACGTACCCTGCCATGACCCGTGAGATCAGTGATTTTAAAAGATCAAGTAACACATTAAAGGGAGCTACTATGAAGGGCATTACTTTGGAGGTTTAAATAAGACTTTTTGCTTTGATTGGAAATAATAGTATCTGGGAATAATGAGAGAGACTGAATTTCTCGTGCAAAGTTAAATGTAAGCTTACATTTGCACAAACTTTCAAAACACTATTATTTTCCTAGAAGACACTAATCAAGGCAGGAAAAGTAAGCCAATAATTAGAGTTGAGAAGAGAATGTGTTAACAGAATCCTCTTAAAGGCATCTGCTTTCTGATATTCAGACATAGAGAATGATCAAGCCCTTGCCCCCAAATGCATCTACACAAGACTTTTTACATAATAGTTGGATAAACATTATAATACTATTTGAGTCACCACATTTGAAGCTTTAGGTAAACATTTTTATAAATAAATTGATGGGCTCAGCAATGATAGAATCTTCTCAGAATATTTTGATAAGATTTTTGCTACTACAATAAGTTACTCAAACATCAAAATAAAGCCAGCTACATTACTGAAAAAAAAAATTTAATTTTAAATATAGTTTTAGGATATATATGGGAGAAATATGTAATTATAGTAATATATGCTCACTTAAAATATGGAGAGCTAGGGGCAGGATCCAGGTGGAGGGGGGCAATGAGAGAGGAAAGGGGAGACATCTGTAATAATCTCAACAACAGAGTTAAAATAAAAATTAAATAATAAAATAAAAAGGCAAATAAATAAAATATGTAGAGCTAATATAGACGACACAATTACAGACATCAATTTAGGATGACTATAAAGTTGTAATTTGTGATTTTTTAAATTTATTTACAGCAACTTGTTCCCTCATCCAACATAACCTATCTATAGTAAAAAAAAAGTAGCTTTACAATATATCCTCAACATCAATATGAGTATGTCTAAATTTATTCTACAAACTATGAAAATGAAGTTCCAGTTAACATTTTTTATATAAAATCAATTTGAAACTATTTCTGTATTCAAACTGAGTGGAAAAACAACTTTTAGGAGATATTTACTCCAACTATAACTACCATTCCTGTACTCACAATGTCTCTCTCCCCCAACACCAGTCCCTGTTTAAAAAGGTTCCCATTAGCATTCTTCATCTCTTCTCTAAAAATAGAAAACTTGAATAATGAAGATCAATTAGGTTTGTTGTCTTGTTTATTTCCAATGAAAGATTCTGTTTTCATGAATCCTAATAATTTCATATACTTCCTCAATTATATCTAAAGAACTTCTATATTTTGTCTAAATCATAGTTTCCTAAAATTCTTGAATTTACTTCCCTGAAGCCTTAGGTCAAGTGGCTTAATTTAGAATACAAAATCCAATGGACACAATAATCCAGATAAAAATAACTCTCTGACACTTAATTTAGGAAACTAACCTGTTGAAATTTCTGGCTCTTAGAAAGTCATTTGGAGTAGTAGTCATAACCTTGTATAGGCCAAGGCCACTTGGAGGCCGCTTGTCAAGCATTATGCACCTTCCTATCTGAGCACAGGAATGGTGGGGGCAGTTATATCTGAGAAATTAAAGTCTTTTTAATTTTTTACTCCAGAGAAAATAGGCTCCACCACCAGAAACTTCTTCCCAATTATCTAGCACATGCCAACATATTTCCAAACAGCAGCTACAATTTAAAGTTAAGAGCCCTACTTCTGATAAGGGTGGAAGGTGTAAAATACCAAATAAGTATTCTTCCACTGGACAATAAAAGCTCAGCCTGAAGCCTACTGCTGGCAACTGTTAACTATGCCAATGGGGGAGCCCTGGTCTGGCCAGAGCCAGAAGGGGCATTGAGGACACATTTGTGAGAGACTTATCTGAACATGCCAGAAGATCCTGCAATAGTACCAACAGGGTATACAGTCACCTGAAGGGTCCCTCATTTCTTTTTCTCCAGTCTCTTCCTACTTTTCAACCATCTGGAGTTAACATTCTCGCCCCTTTCCTGGGCCCCAGTGACCATACACATCAGTGAGCACTGAGGGCCTCTGGGTCACCTCATTCTCCCTGGGTACCATCCCTTCCCCCTATGGGCCTCCTCATGCACCTCATCCCTGCTAAGTATACAGTGTCTGTCAATCTTACATAATCAACTGTACAGTTTACCTGTTGTTCTCCCAAAGTTGATCTACTGTCCCCACAGATGCCTGTCCACCTTGTGTGTCAGTCTTTCTTTGCTCCCTGGGTCTGTTTCTGACTAAAGGTTGGCCTCTTCCTGCTGGCTTTTTCCTCTTCAGCCTCTGCTTTTCTCTTTATATCCCCCTGACCTACCTTCTTCCCACTGTCATTCTTTCCCAAGTCCTCCCCTTGGAACAGGCAAGCTTATCTCCATCTTGCCGTGCTGAATTTCTCTCTAGTGTCCGCCTCAGTTCACTCAGCCTGCCTATCTGGCTTCCCCCATATGGGCCTCCACACTCCATGCTGGTGCTGGTCTCTTCCCTGCAGGGGCACCTGTCTGGGAGTAGCTACTAACACATGCAGTATTGTATTTCTTGTATCTCATTGCAATTCTATTGCTGGGTGTACACTGACCTCTCAGCCATATATGAGACATTTTCCCTGGGATTTCATGGTATGTAGGAAAGTATCTTTCTCCCTCTGCATGCACTCCTCCCTCTCCTCCCAAGTCTGAGTGTTTCTCATTCTGTGTCTCTGGTAGATAACATATGTGCCCTGAAGTGTCCACTAATTCTGTGAATGCCCTCCTGAGAGCATGCTCACCTCTAGCTCTCCTGATATTACACCTACACTGTCATGTGAGTTCATGTACTTCCCAAGCTGTACACAAGTAAATATCTCCCCTGTGTACATGTTTATGTAGGGGACAAACATGAGTCTCCCTTGGCCCAGGTTCATATGCTCCCAGTGAACCAGGATTCACACCTCTCCTGTGGTTCTGCCTCTGTGTTCCTTCTATGCATTTAAAGTGCCTGGCACTAGTGGGAGCTCAACAGATGTTAAATCTCCACTTTTATATGAATAACTGAGTCTGCATCTGAGTGTCCCTCTGTGCCTGTTTTATGAGGTCAGTTATTAGAGCATGTTTCCTTGGTATAGACTGAGCTATTTGTCAGGATGCTCTGCGAGTTATATCTCCCTCCAACTGTTTCTCCTCTTGGAGTAAATGTTACCCGTCCTCATATGGTATATACCTCCCCCCTTATGTGATGTCCAGTCAGGTCTCCCTCAGCCACACACTCCATAAACGGCTTCCCCATGCACCCTGATTGCAGTGTCTCTTCTGTGGCTCTCTGTCCCTTACTTTTTTTTTTAACGCGAGAATGCACTCCCGGGTTTGTACTCCCATTTTGGCATATGTGCATCTATATGAGCCTTTGCTGTACTCGAGTTTTATGTCCATGGGTCTCCCGGACGCGATGCAGGGTAAGACACGGGATGCAGTATATCCTCCCCCCACCTTCACCTTCGTTCCGTGTCTCTAAGACTGTGAGTCTCCTTCCCCTCCCCCTTCCCCCCT